GAACTACCTAGTTCGAGCCCCGTGTAGCCGCGCTGCACAGGGTTCGAAGCAGCGGGGATTTAAAAATGGCGGCACCCCCGCTTATGCAAATGAAGCCCGGGAAATTAAAATCCCGGGCTTCATTTGCAAGTGCGGTATGCCTACATTACCCCGCTAGTTCGAACTAGCGGGGTAGTGTAGACATACCCTCAGAGACTGAGTTTTCTCTACCTATCAGTCACATTTGTACCAATTTCATTAGCATAGCTATCTAAACCAATTAAGCAAATGCAAATGCCTTCCCTGTAACCTCAGAGTTGTATATGGGTGATTGTCTGATCTGCAGGAAGAAAAGGATTGTGGGTCCTTTAAGGGTTTTCCCCCTCTCCCTTGTGTTAGGATAAAGGAGGTAAAGCATAACCTGAGCGGGGGTCTGGCTGGAGGGTCTCTGGGAAAGCATTAGATTCTGCATACTTTGGAGAAGAGAGTTTTAAGATGCCCTGTCCCTCCAGTCAGAGCTCTCTTTGAATCACAGATCAGCAGCCCTGAACAGACATCCTTGGGATCAGAATAGAACTGTTTTTTGTGTCCTGCCATGGCACGTTAATTAATTTCATCACATTTTTGAGACTGGAAGGAATTGTTCCCTTATCACCAGATTGGCTATAGTACAGTGAATTTTTTTCACTTCCCCCTGAGCAGATCAGAAAGATGCCATGACCTACCAGATGTCAGTTATACACTGCTTCCATGGGGGTCTGGTTTCCTGATACCAAAGGCAGGAAGTAGATTTAGAAGAAGCATCTCCTAAAGAAGTTGGAGAATGGGTTGGGACTAATATAGCAAGGAGACAGCCCTCTTTTCCAAGCACTAACCACTAAAAAGGGCAAGGGGTTCTAGTAATAGTGTGGATCCAGGTTTGGGGGCTCTGTGTAAACCCATCTTAACTGGTAAATGTGCTCTAACAAGTGGGCACTGCTTGACTGTACCAGTGAATCTGTCCTTAAAAGTTTTAATTAATAAAATAATATCTTCAAATCTAACTAATAGGTAGAGATGTTTGAATACCAGAAAAGAGTGTATTTCAAATTCCTTTTTTATATGAATTGACATGCACACACTGAAGAAAATTGAAACACCAATTTGAAACACAGAACCAAGTTGTCTTGTGGTTAATCACATTCCACTGACTACAATTCAATTAGGAGTATTTGACCAACTGTACATCTCAATAACAGAAAATAGTATTTGGTGACAAGTTTCAGATGGGTAGCAATGATGGATCCTGTGGTGCCTTAGATTAAAACAATTATTTGGGCATAAGCTTTCATTGACTGCAGCCCACTTCAGCAGAAGCATGAAGTGGAAACTTCAGTTTGGCAGGGACAGATACGCACTTGCAAAGATGGGAGTGGTCTTACACATAATAATGTAACACTCATATTTTTTCACACATGTATATATCACTGCAAAACTGAAGTTTCCTCTTCATGCATCTGATGAAGTGGTTTCCAGTTTGTGAAAGCTTATACAAATTATACCTCCTACTCCAGCACCCTGGGGACCTGAGTGCTCCTGAACAAGGGGATTTTCTGGACTAGGGGAGGTTCTTCCCAGCATGGCCATGTTGCTCTGTTGCCCCCGACTAGGGCACCAGCCTGGTCCTGCTGCTGCCTACCCGGCGGGGCCAGCCCCAGAGCTGTCACTGCTGGCCCCCGAGCTCTGCAGCCAGGGCTGGAGCTTTGCAACTGCCACTGCTGGCCGCTTGCTGGAACTCCCTGTTGCTCCTCTGCCCCTCCCCACACGGAGCTCCTGGATGAGTTGCTGTTCTCCCTTGCCATTCCTGCCCCACAGGCCAGCCTCCTTACACCTGGGCTCTGTGGTCCAACAACATCCATGGTCTGGCAGGATCACGGATATTACTGGACCATAGAGTCAGAGTTAAGGGAAGTACAACCTGTACTCAAATAAATGTGTTAGTCTTTAAGATGCCACAGGGCTATCTTTATCAGCTCTTATTGTTGACTTTCATTCCACAGCAAGCAATGAAGTTCAGGGAGACTTGTGTGGAAAGAAAGGGAGAGTTTATTGGTGTTGAAATTATTAGTTAAATCCCAAGAGAGAGAAAGAACATAATGTAATTGGAGTTTTCTTTGTTACACATTTCCTCATATTGCTCAAGTTCTGAGCAATACTGTAGATCTAAGTCTATCCCTGTGAAAGAGATGGCCTATTGATAACAACATGATCAACCCTTGACACTATGTTTTATTCACAATGTCTAAGATTTTTTCCTTCATTTTGCCACTGTTCTCCTTTTTTGGTTATGCTATATTATTCAAAAAGCTAAATACTATGAAGTAGTGTCAATAAGCTCTTTCAAATAGTATATATTTTCAGGTGTGCAATTTAACAGTACTAAATAATAGATATGTAGTCAGTTCAGTCAAGCATTATTTTTGTTCTAACGATATATTAAATATATAAATTATTCAGAATGTACAAATGTGTATGTTCAAATTGCTATAGCTAGAGGTTTGAATTTGACAAGTCATGAAGAAGCTCAGAACTTCTTCTGAGTTATTGCTTTAAATGTTGATTTAACACAAAATTTACTTGCAAAGTATTTTTAATGAGCCACTCAAAATGTTTTTTCAAAAAAATATTTAGCAACACAGGTAATTTGTCTCAGTAATTTAAAAGTGTTTTCTATAGTTATAAACTGGATTCACTTAAATAGTTAGGCAGCTTTTATGTTTCCTTTTAGCTATATATAAACTTGGTTAGATCTTTAAAGTTGTTTTTAGAAAAGTCTATGTCAATTTCACATTCTCCCAAATAACTGTACACAAATAGTTCCTCAACTTCCAATTAAACAAAAATATTACTAATCAGAAATTACAATATAGTAAGGCTAAATCTACTACTCGAGGCCTTCCTAAATCTAGATGTGAAATCCATTCTACCATTCACTGTGCAAAGAAAAAAAGTCACTTCTCTGTACTCTAACTTTTGTTCCTGAAGATATGCAGGCATACATTCTATTGAAGTCTGTGCACACCCAGTGCAACAAAGCCTGAGAGCTTTGTTTACCAGTACCCATAAAGGCTGAGTTTTCATCCTATGATCTTTAACCTCTCCCCAGATTACTTAAGGGAGCTGTCCTCCCTCAGTTCCTTTGCACCTAATGTCAAAAGTAGAAACTCCTGTGCAAAGGGAAGGGAAGGTGTGTCCTGAAATATCTATACTCACATCCCAAAGAAAAACATGTTTTTTGAATGATTGCAGATTCAGGTGATTTACAAGCAGTATAGTATTGAGCTCAGAGTCTATTTAAATGACTGCAGGATTGTCTTTCCAAAGTTTGTTTGTGAATTAGATGCAGGAGTAATAATATCATACATAGTGATAGAAATATAGCTGTGTTAGTCTGGTGTAGCTGAAACAAAATACACGACTATGTAGCACTTTAAAGACTAACAAGATGGTTTATTAGATGATGAGCTTTCGTGGGCCAGACCCACTTCCTCAGATCAAATAGTGGAAGAAAATAGTCACAACCATATTATAACCAAGTGAGTTATAAGATCAAGAATACATATTCCTGCGCATCCAGAAATATAATCTATGCTATCATGTGCCAAAAGTGTCCGTCTGCTTTGTACACTGGACAAACGTCTCAGACTCTTCGCCAAAGAATCAATGCCCACAAAACAGACATTAGACAGGATCACAAAGAAAAAACAGTTTCTTGCCATTTCAGCCAGAAAGGATATTGTCTCAATGACCTAATCACATGCATCCTACTTCAGAAGACTTTCAGATCTGCACTTGAAAGGGAATCCTCTGACCTGGCATTCATGCTAAAATTCGAAACTCTCCGCGGGGGGGCTGAACAAAGACCCCCAACTACCTTACCCATTACAAAGATAGCTTCCCCAATTATCACCTCTAATACCATTAACTCACAGACATCTCCCCTTCCCCACCTCTAATATCATTAACTCACAGGCATTTACTTTCCTTACCCCTTCCCCTCCCGCATCCCTCTTCTGTTCTGAAATGTGATTTCTCCTTTTCATATGTGTTCTTTTTTTTTTTTAATTGTATCCTTTGGTATATATGGTTGTGACTATTTTCTTCCACTATTTGATCTGAGGAAGTGGGTCTGGCCCACGAAAGCTCATCATCTAATAAACCATCTTGTTAGTCTTTAAAGTGCTACATAGTCCTGTATTTTAATATCGTTGTGACTCTCCACACGCGTCATCCGTACCTGCGTGACTACGCCCCCGTAGCTTTCTCCCCAAAACCCTCCCTTTTATCTATTTCAGCCCTTCTGGGGGGAAGGGTGAGGAAGGGGGGCCCGGGCCCACCCCCTCCCACGGGCCCCAGCCCAGGGCCCTAAGGACTCGGATCCCACTAGATCCGGTCCGGCTGGCGGGGTTTAAAACCGTAACTCGCCAGCGCACCAGCCAACTCCGGGCTCCGCCCTGGGCCACTTCCTTCCTCGCCCCTCTCGGCATGGTCCCCCCGTCCACTGTGGAGTGGGAGGGGGTCACGTCTCTTACTATGTGCCGGGGTCCTGGCGAGCGGGCGCCTGCCGCTTCTTGCTCCTGCCGCTCCTCCCCCCTCAGGTCCGGTGCCGGCGCCTTTTTATATTCGCGCCAGGTCGGCGACCCTGGCCATGCCCCGGAAGCCCCGCCTCCGGCGTCGGCCCGGCCCCGCGCTGCCGCGGCACC